ACGAAATAACAGAAAATAAAGTTAACTAAGAGGTTGCAGCTTCAACATCCTGTCCGGTCGAGTCGGTTGACTCGAAATCCTCAGGCTCCAGTAGGAGGCACAGCTTCTGAACAGCTCGAGTCATGCATCCTCCGGAAGTTCTTAATGTGACATTGCGCACCGCTCCGTCAGCGCCCGGATGTACTTCCACGACGCGACCCATGCGCCAGTGAGTCGGAGGCAAGTTCTCATGCTTGACTAGTACGATATCGTTCACCTTGATGTTAGTGGTGCGCCGATGCCATTTGTGGCGCCGCTGCAGAGTGGTCAGGTACTCCTCACTCCACCGCTGCCAAAACACTTGTTGAATCTGCCGTACCCATTGCCATTGTTTCAGTCGGTTGTTGGGAATATGTTGGATGTCTGGCTCAGGGACCACTATCAGCGGAGCCCCAATCAGGAAATAACCGGGTGACAGCGCGAATTTATCTTCCGGGTCGTCGTACAGTGGCGTAATTGGACGTGAGTTCAGGCATGCTTCGATCCGGGTAGCCAAGGTCTGCAATTGACTATGCCACATGATTTGCGAGCCCACACAGCGGACCAAGTGATGCTTTGCCGCCTTAACGGTAGCCTCCCACAGCCCACCTTGATGCGGAGCACTGGGTGTAATGAAGTGTCAATTGGTACCCGAGCCCGCTAACAATCGCTGGTTGTTTTCACTATGCCATGCGGCGAGGTCTTCACGTAAGAGTCTGTTAGCACCAACAAAGGTAGTGCTATTATCAGTGTATAGGTCGGGGCAGGGACTTCGGCGGCTGACGAAACGGGTGAAGGCGTCAAGGAAAGCTGGTGCGGATAGATCGTCCACGACTTCGATGTGCACGACTTTGGTGACCATGCATACGAAGATGGCTAGGTACGTCTTGATGAACGTGCGTGAGCGCTTCGTGCCGACCCGCAGTGTAAAAGGGCCACAGTAGTCTACCCCGGACGAAACAAACTCGCAGTCTCGCAGGTATGATCCTCTGCCCGGGTAGCGAAGCCATTTGCTGACTGAACACCTCTCCCTTATGACGGCGGCACACTACGCACTTGTGGATAAAACTCTTGACCACCTGCCTTGCATTCAGGATCCAAAACCGGCGTCGGAGGGTATGTAGCATGAGCTGCGTTCCTCCATGTAGCGTTGCCTCATGCGCCTGACGTATTAGCAGCTGCACGAAAGGAGTTGACTTCGGCAATATGCCACCTTCGTGCGAGCTGTAACAAGTGAGATGTGCGCAACATTGCCTACGTCCACAGTTTTCGTATAGATGACGGCAGCATATGCTTGTGAGCTTGCATCGCAAAAGCCGTGCAACGTTGTCTGAACACGCTGAATCATGCCCATCCAACGGTCAATGCGGATCTTATTGAGCCCCTCTAGCTTGGAGCGGTACTTGAGCCATTCGTTGCAAAGATCGTCAGGTAACGGCGAATCCCAAGATAAACGAGCAGCCCGCATCCTCTGGATGAACACCTTCTCAGTTACAACGACAGGTGATAACAACCCAGCGGGATCAAAGAGACGCGCCACCTCGCTAAGTACTCGTCTCTTCGTGGCAGCCTCGGAGGATTGGTTTAGGTCGACTTGGAAAAATAGCTGATCCGTCACTGCGTCCCATCTTAAGCCTAATACGGAAGCCACACCAGAATGGAAAGTATAGCTGGAAAGAGACGCTTCATTAGATAAATAGCTCATCACCTAGCCATCGTTGGAGTTCCATTTTCTTAGCGTAAATTTTCCCGCGGATAAAATGGTATCTACGTTTCTAGCCAGTTCCACTGCATCGAACGCGCTCTCACAACTGGTGAGGAAATCATCTACGTAAAACGAGGTTAGAATCGCAGCTCGAGCGAGGACCGCCTGCCGCCTATCCGGAACTGAACCATAATTATCATAAACGCATTGCTGCAACGTGCGCACTGCGTTATATGAACTACATGTCATGCCATATGTAATGGTCTTCAATCGATATACGCGAATATCTTCGGCCGGGGACTCGCGCCAAATAATCCTCTGATAGTCTCGATGCTCCTGCGCCACCAACACTTGCCTGAACATTTTCTCGATGTCGGCCGTTATCGCCACTCGAAAACGTCGGAAGCGAAGAAGTATGCTACAAAGCGAGTCCTGAAGCGCTGGGCCCACCAGTTGAATATCGTTTAGGGAGACTCCCGTGCTGGGCGACGCCGAGGCATTGAACACCACACGGAATTTGGAGGTAACCGCATGATGAGGAATACAGTAGCAATTGTTATGGTGATACGGTGGTTCGACTAGCTCCATATGTCCGAGAGTTGCGTACTCCCGCATGAATGTCACATCGTTTTCTCTGAGGGCGGGATCTACTACCAAGCGACGCTCTAGTCTACCAAATTGGCGCACAGCAAGTGCATACGAGTCACCAAGCTTTGGTGCATTTTGTCGTAGAGGTAGGTGCACAATGTAACGGCCGTCCGCAGTGCGGCCATGAGTAGCTTCGAAGATCTGGGCACAGTCGTCAACGTGTTGATTGTCGGCCGCCACAATTTCATCCATCTCCCAAAACCTGTGGAGCAGTTCTTCTAAACGGACGTCGTCCTCACTCGTTAACGCGCTGAGTGTGAGCGATGATACGTTCGAAGTAAAAGACACTACTGCCGGACCAAACACTACCCAACCAAAGCGGGTACGCTGGGCGAAAGGTTCGTCTGGTCGTCCACCGATGACTTCACCCTCTAAGACTCGCCCCCACACGTCCGCGCCGATGAGAACGTCGATAATGCCAGGCGTACCAAACCGATCGTCCGCCAACTGAAGCCTTCTCAAGTACGGCCACTGGTTCACGTCAATATTCACCGCCGGAGTCTGAGAAGTAATGGACGGTAAAACCAAGGCATAAATTTGCATCTCAAATCCAGTTTTCGTTGACCTCAAAGTGAGTGTAACGCTGCCCTTCACCTGTGCATTGACGGCAGCCCCTACCCCTTCTACCAGGTCACATTTCCGTCGGTATAACTGCAAGGAGTTTGCTAGGCGATCCGTCACGAACTAACCTGCGATCCAGGATCGCATAGGATAAGAGCCACACGCTGAACCGATGCTTCTCCAAAGGCATATGCACGCGCTGTTGCTAGGAGGGTGATTGGCTGATATCTGTCCGCGTGGGCTCTCGCAGGTGCTGCTAGTCATGCAGCTGAAGTTGTTGGCGCCTTACCAGTTGCAAAATTCGATACGGGTGTCGTGGACGTCGATTCAGGCGCAGCTATGTTGACGAACCTCTCGCGGCATAAGATAGTATTGTGCTTACGGCCACAATTCCGACAACTTCCCGATGGACACTGTCTGGACGAATGGCCAGCACGTAGGCAGTTATAACACAACCTTAAACTCTTAACTGCTTCATAACGTTGTTCAATGTTCATGGCTGACAGCGCTGAACACTTAGAAATTCGATGCGGAGCACCACAATGCGCACACTGTGCCCGCTCAGCGCTAGCCACATGCGCCTTCACCGATCGCTGCTGCCGAGAGGCCACTAGAATGGCGGATGGTTCAGGTGATAGACTATGAGCACGCCTTTCCAAAAACCTCAGCAAATCATCCAGAAGTGGAATATCGGTGGTGGTACACTTCATACACCAGTCGCGCTTGGTTACAGCCGGAAGCTTGGACACAACAATAGGCACAGCTAATGCATCCCATTGACTTACAGGGACCTTTATAACCTGCAACGCTCGCAGCGACTCTTGCACTATGTCAACAATGGCCAGCAATGCTTGCGATGACTCCTGGGTAGCTACTTGTAGGTTGAGAAAACGCGACACGTGTATTTCTGCCAGCTGTTTCTTATTGTTGTAACGCTCTTTAAGAGCCTTCCATACTTCTTGATAGCCACCCGAGTATATCCCTCCAATTAATGGCACTGTGGAGGCCTTAACTGCTTGGCGAAGTTTACCCAACTTGAATGCTTCCGGGTACGCAGAGTTATGGACGAGCGTTTCAAACGCATCCGTGAACGCCAACCACTTGCACATTTCCCCGTCAAATGGGGGAATAGCCAACGGGTCAAGTTTAAGATCTACCGAACAGCCATCCAAAGTCGTGGTAGAGCGTTGCACGCACCTTCACTGACGTTGGAATCTCCCGTTGACGTCGCAATAAGGCGGTTGAGTGTGCTACATACATCACCGTAAAGCTCCTCCACACTTTCCCATAGCGAATCATGCGTAACCATTTCTGAGGGTGCAGCTTCTCCAACAAGATGGTTATGGTTATCAACGAATCGCCCAAAATGTGTCTCCATCGACTTCAGCTCTTGTTGAAGTCGGAATACATCCCGACCATCATCGCCACCATCTCTTACACGGGCATGTATGCGTTTTATTGCTTTCACAGCAGATGCGCGCAAGTTAAGTTCCGCCATGCCTCAAAAACACAAACAATAAATTTATTTGTCCTCATAGGAGGCACCAAAATGTTACTAATTAAACACGCAAAGTCACGATTTACCAATACAATTTATTATTCATCCGCTTATCTGTGCACAAGAAGAAGTTAAAAAGAGTTTCCTCGCCTTTTATAGTAAATTGAAGGAATTTAAAGTACCGTACAATGATTTTTCAACGAAACAAACAAATGTAACCACAAAACAGAAATGAATGACAAGAGTGTGAACAGGATTGCCAGACGATTACGAAATAACAGAAAATAAAGTTAACTAAGAGGTTGCAGCTTCAACAAATTACATTCGACTTTTTAAATAGCTGGCAAACCTCTTCAGAAATATCATCTTAATACTAATTAAAGGTGGCTACTTTTAAAATGCGGGGATTTTTTTTCTTAGAATTTTATGTGGAATCCGAATCTATTACTGACGATGTCGAAAAAATTGACCCGACCTAATGTGAATACATTTATTGCGCACCGAAATATAATTTTATAGTTCTACTTTTGTAATAATATTCATATTCAGCAAATACCCGGCGTGCTTCATTGCGCCTTGAAAATATTTTTGTGGTGTCGGATGCCCGTATTTTAATATTTCATTTATTTTAAAAATTTTATTAAATACAATTTTTAAAACAGGTTGTAACCCTCCTCAAAAATATTTCCGGTAGTAAAATTTCCAAAAAACTCTTCATTTTGATACCCATATTGCTATATTTACCTTATCTTATCAATTAAATTCAATTAAAATTTTCAAATATGTGGCAACTTCAACAAAACTTTTTTCGACTGTAAGCCTTCTTAAACTCCTTTCTTTTGACAGCAATATAGCAATATTTACTTTATCTTATAAATTTACTTAAACTGCAATATACAAACAGGTGGCAACTATCTATTTGTTTTCTTTCTGTATATTAAGTTATACCTCTAGCAATACTTCGGTGAAAGCTGCATTGAAATTGATGCATTAGTTTTCGAGTGATGCGCATACAAACATACAGACAGATAGACAGATAGACGGACAGACAGACAGACAAAATTGTCGATTTGGCTTCTATTGCTCTAATGAAGACCCCCCATATTAATTTTTCTTTAATATCTATAACGTACACACATCGGCCTGTTACAATTTTATTATATGTATAGATTGGACTGTTACAAAATTGTCAACCTAAACTATTTCAATTTTGACCATTGAGAACTGGATATGAATTTTTCGTTCTTCCGAACCGGGCACACATATGTATATTTTTGGTTGTTTATAAATCGAATGTATAAAATTGACGGTGGATATATTTCGTCGCCTTTGAAAGATGCAGAATAGTATTGACAATTTAAAGTGGGCACAAGAATGTATGTGAATGCGTGTAAACTACAGGATCTCAAATTAATTTCGTTCACCGCCCGTGCGCGTCCAATGAGAGAAGTATTATTTTTAAGAGTTGTTAAAACTATTTGACTCATAATAGCATTTTATGCACATCTTAAAAATGCCTAACCATCTGTGAGCTACATGCTAGGAGGCGATATCGCTTACTTTGGGAAACACTAATGTGAACGATCCCATACACATGCCCACACCTTGCTGCACAGTTTTTTGTGTCCACTTTCAACCAAAAGTCATGTCCAGTTTGTAAATTGCACAATATGTGTGCTACGTTTAAATTTTCAAAAGTACAAAAATGGAAATGCTTTCAAGCAAACAAAAAAAATATACACATACATACGCATGAACCAAAAATACTATATACAGGGGTGGGCAAGGCCGAGGCCGAAAAGAGCCACATCTAAGTTCTAAATGCTACAAAGAGCCACAAAAAAAGAACAAGAAAAACAAAAATTTTATTTTTAAATAAAATCATTATTAGAAATGAAAAACATTAATTTTATAATTATTCTATTGTACGTAAGATAGATATAAAAGAAAATTCAATAGATCCCTTTGGCGAGATTTTCAAAATCTGGTTTTAGGACAGTTAAAGCCGTTCGTAACAATTCTGTTAAATGTTGGATAGTCAATAGGTACGTTCGTTTAAAATCTCCAGTAAAAAATGTCCAAAAGCGAAATTCCGGCGAAATATCATCTGTTCTCTCACAAGAGAAAAATATCCAAAATAGTACGCGAACAGAAAATTTGCAGAAACTTGCAAGTTAGACGAACAGCTGATAGAAATTTTGTTTACAATAACAGGTCTATTCTGCACGTTACCGAAGATTTTGTGACCGGAAAATTTTATTACCACTTCTTGTCACCGCGATTCTAGGTACGTTGGTAATGCAGTGAAAATATTCAGCAACTCAGCTATGAAGATTTGTGGAAATTCCTGTATTGCATATTTCACGGGGCAATATTTTGTTACCAGATTATGAGATGGTAACTAAATTTACCGGTTACAAGAGAGCTCAGAATGCGAAAAGGGTTTAAAAATTGGTAGACACTTTAATTACCGGTTATAAAATTTATGCTACCAGCGCAGAATAGAGTATAAAATTGAAAACGTAAGGAAACAAATCCTGAATTCTTATCCTGACACAGTTCACTGACTAAACGAATAATTACTTATTTCTTACAAGTTTAATTAGTCGCATTTCACTATTTCAACTTCCAAACCATCAAATTCAATTTAGGGATTTGCGTAAATTCCAGCAAATTGCTGTGGGCTAAAATATGTATTTATATGTATAATATGTATATATGTAAAATATGTATGTATATGTGTAATATGTATGAAATATGTATTTTAAAAAGTGAAAAGAGCAAAAATGTTCTAAGCAAGGAGAAAGTAAAAAAGCCGCTCTTTGCTAAGCAAAGAGCCGCATTTGGCTCAAAGAGCCACGTTTGCTCACCGTTGGTATATAGATTTTTAATTAGATAATTGTTTAATATATTTTACTATAGTAGGAGCCTTCAAAATTCGGAAAATCTCTTCCCGTATATACAATGTAAATAATAATGCCGAATATGTTGCATGTGTTCGTTTTGTTGACATGCATATATTTGATGCATGATTTGATTTGAATTTATTCGGCAATGTCTTCATATATCACTTTCAAACATGTATAAGCGACATGAAATAAACTGGCACTTGCATGATGTGTTACATGTCGCTATGTTTTTAGTTCAGGCCTTTAGTATATATAATTGCTCAGTCATACGACTTAGTGAGGCCGATCTGTAGTAGCCACAGAATTGAGCTATATATCAAACTAAAGTGCAAGCTGCAGTAGCAGTTGACCGTGTTTGTCAAAAAAGTAAAAAGCGGCAGAAAAGTCGATAGTGAGTAATATAATCTATTAAAAAATAATAACCATATTTCCGTGGAATTGAAAAGTTAAAGTTATTAGGTATTATTCATAGTTTTAAAATATATTTCCCGAAAGCAAAAAGTAAAAATAGCGGAGATCCCTTTCTTTTTTAAACACCTGGGATATCACTGACCATTAAAAAGGACCCTGAATGA